AAATCTGCATTAGCGGTGAGCTTCTGAAGAGAGCTTGCCAACGGAGCAAGGAGCAGTGCTGCAGCATGCAGGCCCCAGGAAAGGCCTGGGGAAGGGTGGCTTCAAAGCTCCTGGGTTTCCTATCTCTTCAAAACTTCAGATTGGCAGAAAGAGGAAGTCTCCACTGGTCCCCCCCCCAAAAAAAAATGCCAAAGACTTTTGGGGGCAGGGAGCAAGTCACACAGAAATCCTACCTCCCTTGGAGATTTCTGAATGTTCAATTTGGCATTATCTTGATTTGGAAGTGAGAAAAGTACAGGAAATATCCATGAGGACAGTACGTATTCATTTCATTATTACTATTATAACTCACATAGTACCCACTATGAACCAGACATGTCTAAGCATATTACACTCATTCAATCCTCCCAGCAACCCTCAGAGGTAGGCATTATTAACAAGTTTTAGAGCTGAGGAAACTGAAGCACAGAGTAGGTGGTTGATGTTATGGACAGAATTGTGTCCCCCCAAATTCATATGCTGAAGCCCTAACCCCCAATTTGACTAGACTTGGCGATGGAGCCTTTAAGGAGGTCCTTAAGGTTAAATGAGGTCATAAGGGTGGGGCCCTAATCCAATACAACTTGTGTTTTTATAAGAGGCAGAGACACCAGGAATACACATGCATAGAGAAAATGCCATTAGGACAGCAAGAAGGTGGCTGTCTGCAAGCCAAGGAGAGAGCCCTCACCAGAAACCAACCCTGCCAGCACCTTGCGCCTGGACTTCCAGCCTCCAGCACTGTGAACAAATGAATTTCTGTAGTTTAAGCCACCTAGTCTGTAGTATTCTGTTGTGGAAGCCCTAGTGAACAGTGCAAGTGACTTGTCCAAGATCTTTTGCCTGGTAAATGGAAGAACTGAGATTTGAAGCCAGACTGTATTGACACCTGAGTCCATGCTTTTCATGACTATTGTACAGTGTCTATTACCCTGAGAAAGGAGAGTCCCATTGGAGAACATGACGGTGACCACAGGAACTGCAAGCATGTACTCTGCACCAGCCCACCTCGCTAAGTGCTTTGCATGGATTATCCATTTAATACCAACAACAATCCTGTGAGATTATTGCTATTAACCACCCCCCCCCATTTCACTAAGGCCTTAGGAGGAATCCAGTGGGGGCAAACTCACTCCAGAGCCAGCTGTGAACACTATGCTATACCACAATTAATTATAACTATTAGAGATCATTTTGTTATGGTCAGCTTCACCACCTGGCCAAAAACTATTCAACTGGGTTTCCCAAGTATGAGAACACAGTTGAGCCTAGTGAGAATTATGAGCCAATGAGGAAGGTGTCCCCACTGAGATAGCACACTGTTGAAGACAAAGGGCCAGTGGAGAGGCAGCTCTGCCTTGATGGGCAGGAGAGGGTAGGAAGGAGCACTGTCAGAGGGGCATACCCATCCAGGACTGCTGCAGCAGGGCCACAGGACCACTGTTTGCTCCTTCTCTCTTTGAATAAGCAATGGCTAATGGGGACTCAGCAGCAGTCAGGTTGGGGTCAAAGAGGGGTTGCTCACATTGCCTCTGTCTCCAGCCACACCCTCTACATCCCCCCAAATAGGCCTCGCTTCCTTTTTTAGGCACTCAATTTCATCAGTCCCATGGATGGGTTAGGAAGGACTGACGTAAATCATCTCCATTCTGCTGGCACTGCATTTTCCAAAGGGCAAGATGTGTCTCGCAGGTGGGCACCCCTGAGACAGGTAGACCCTTTTCAAATCTTTCTCAACCTTGTGACTATGTCAAGGAAAAGGCTTGGTGCTAATATGCCTTTCATAACGCCTCTCATATTTGCTCATACTTGAACAAAGAGAGACCAGACTTCAGACCCAGAGCCTTCCATGGGCAGCAGTGTCTGCTTGGTAAATCCAAATTACACATACAGGGTCCCACATCTTACTGACGCCCTGTTCACTTTTTAATTCTTTTACTTTCTATGTGGCCTTTTGGAAGGTTTCTGTTGCTGTATCTCCAAGTTTACTACTTTCTTTCATGATGTCTAATCTGCGATTAAGCCCATACAGTATACTTTTCATCTCAGACATGTACTTTTCATGTTGAGAAGTTCGATGTAGGTCTTTTTTTATATCTTCCTGTCTCTTCTTAACTCCTTGAACATGTGGAGTACAGCTATAGTAACTGTTTGACTTGTCCTTTTTTTTTTCTTTTTTCTTTTGGTGGCCATACTGCGCAGCTTGTGGGATCTTAGTTCCCCAACCAGGGATTTAACGCAGGCCCTCGGCACTGAGAGTGCAGAGTCCTAACCGCTTGACTGCCAGGGAATCCCCTGATTTTTCTCTTAATTCAAACATCTATGTCAGTTCTTGGTAAGTTTAGACTGATTTTTCTTCTCATTATGAGTCCTACTTTCCTGTTTCTCTGTTAGATGCTGGACATTGTGAACTTGATGTTTTTGGGTACTGGATATTTGTCTTTTTTTTACAATGATTCTTAATCTTTGTTTTAGGCTGTAGTTAAATTATTCAGAAACAGTTTCTTTCAGGTCTTAACTTTTAAGATTTTTAGGCAAGACCCAAGCAGTGTTTAGTCTAGGACTAATTATTCTCCACTACTGAGGCAAAACCTCACTATACTACTCCATGAATTACGAAGTTTTCCAGTTCAGCTGGTGGAAAACACTATTCCTGGCCACACGTGAGGGCCAGGTGCCATTCTCCTCTCAGCCTCGATTCCTCACACATGTATTCTGCCTGATACTCGAAGAGACCTCTGCGGACTTTCGGAGTTCTGTGTGCAGCTCCCACCTCTCCAACACTCTGTACTGTAAGATCTTGCCACTGTGGTGTCCCCAGACTTTCAGCTCTATCTCAACGAAGGGCGCCCCTGGGCTCTGCCTGGGTTCTTCCGCCATGCGCCACAGGCTGGAAGTTCACTAAAGACAGTAAGCTGAGGTGACCATAGGGCTACACCTGTTTGTTTCCTCTCTTAGGAACCATTGGCCTTCCTTGATTTCCATTACCTTGAAAACTGTTTTTTAACATTTCAAGTGGCAAGGTAAATCCATCCCGTCACTCCATCTTGGCTGGAAGTAAGTCTTAACTCTTTTTTTTTTTTCTGAAGTATAGCTGATTTACAGTGTTGTGCCAGTCTCTGCTGTACAGCAAAGTGACTCAGTTATACTCCTGTTAATTCTTTCATTAGATTTTATAATTTTCTTCACGTAGGTCCTATGACTTCTCATTAGTCTCAGTAGATTCTCCTACGACTTCTCATTAAATTTGTGTCTCAGTAGATTATTTTTATTGCTATTGTAACTATTTCCTCCCATCTCCATTTCTATGTATTTATTTCTAGTGGGGAAAAAACTATTGATTTTTGTATATGTAACATTTGTCCTGAAATTGAAATATGCATTGGTCATAAATTTATTCAGCAGCGAGGAACAGGAAGATGAGAGGCAGGCATCCAGTGCCGGTGCAGCTGCTCAGCAATGCCAAAAGGAATGCAAGCTCTTCTCCACTCTCCTCAGCACACTGACTTTATCCTCATGCTTGTTACTTCATGGCACAGACGGCTGCTAAAACTCCAGGCCTCACGTATGTGATCCAAGCTGGAAGGAAGGGGGAGGGAGTGGCAACTCCCTTACCAGGAAAGCAAAAGATTTCTCAGAATAATTAGATTGTGTGTTATTAGCCAGAACTATAACATTTGACCACCTGTAACAGCAAGTTGGTCTGGGGAAACAAATGTTTAGCTAGAAATTCTACCACAAATTCACCAAAAAAATCAGGGTTTGGTTGGTTATGAAGAAAAGAGAATTGATATTGGACAGGTAACTAACATGTCTACAAGCTACTCTTGCATTGTTAGAATAAACCCTGCTGTCTCATAGTGAATTATTCTTTTAAATACCTTGCCAGATTCTATTCGACAATGTTTCTTGACGTGATTTTTTTTAAGGCTATTGCAATACTCAGGACTAAAAGACCTGAACTAAAGTTGTGGAAATGGGAAAAGAAACATATCTATTTTCAGAGGCAGCATCAAAGCCCTATGATCAGACCTGATTAACTGCACATAGATTAAATGCTAGAAGAAACAAAATAAGAGCAGAAATAGAAAGTACTACATAAATTTTAAAAGGGAACAATTACCAGTGGTATTAAATGTTCATTAAACACAAAAGCTGAAATATTTGTGAAATTTTCTCTGAATTTCTGATTTTTCTTAATTTGCAATGTCCTAATTAGGTACTTAGTATTGTTACCATCACATAGAAAAAAATTATACCAATCTCTCACTCCTGACTTTTATTAAACTATTATTGCAATAATAGTACTGTGGCCTTTTTTAAGTTTTTATCTTTCAGATACATACTGAAATATTTATAGACGAAATTATATATTTAGTATTTGCTTCAAAATAACACAGGAGTTATACAGGGAAAAGTGGATAGAAATAAAGACAGAACAAAGATTGGCATTAAGTTGATAATTATTGAAGATGGGCATTGGGTATATGGGACTCATTGTACTATTCTGCCTTCTTTTGAATATGTTTGGAATTTCCTATAATAGAAAAATTTTTAATGTTTGTGGAATGGAAGCATGTATGTATATATTTGTGTATATATAAATGTACAAATACAAATATTTGTTTTAAATGATAAATTGTTTAGTAGGGATTCTATTCCACATTTCCTTTTTTAAAAGGGAACTGTGCATAGTCAGTATTCATGGGAGGACAGTTCTGCTACTTCCTGAACTTGGTCCTAAGCAGCCCGGGTAGAGCCTATACCCACCCTCCAGCAGCCACTGCTCCCTTCCTCATCACCGTCCTTAGCTTCGGAGTCTACAACCCCAAATAGTTCCTGAGTCCAGCTCTAGATTTTGTCAAATTCATAAAAACATTCAAAGTAACAATGACTGCATTTACGTATGCTGCCAGCATTCTTAAAGCCAAAATGCTTCAAAGATTCAACAGTCATACACATTTAAAATACATAGAAAAATAATAGAATTTATACAAAGTAGATTTTTACAAAACAAGTACATTACAAGAAATACATCTTATATCCAAGCACAAAAATGTGGAAATATACATGGAAGTAGAAGTTTAAGAAAAAACATTTATTTTTAAATGCTGAGCGGGAAGGCATAGACCGAGTTCTGGCTTACTGGTGTAACTCTGAAGAGAACCTCAATTTGCTAGTAGGAATTTTCACTCCATTCTCAAGCTTCTCAACAGTTCCTGAAGGGATCAGACAGCTGTTCCTCTTTCCAAGTTCTGTTTAATTTCAGCTGTGTATTTCCCATAGAATCTTTCTGCCTTCTTGTTGAATTTGGCATTCCTTTCGTTAATGTAGTCGATATCTGCATCATCATTGTAGGGACGTCTCCGGCTGTATTTGTCTCGTTTCTCAATTCTGGGAGAAGAAAATAATTTATAAAATTCAAAACTGCCTTCTTTACTGATCTTAATAAAACACGGCCAAACAGAATAGAATCAGTATACTTAAGACTAGCACTTTGGGAAGGGGCGGGAGGAAGGCCAGTTTCATCAAGATGAAGTTGAAACTGCCAATTAACAGCACAACCCTGGGTATGAACCATGAAATTTAGTAAATACAAACTCATCTTTACAATGTTTCTAGAAGAGCAATGCTACACTCTAGGAACTGGACACATGAAGTATCACTTAACAGAAAATAATTACAACAGTAATTATATTAATAATAACCACAGCTAATATGAACAGAGTACACAGTATACACTAGACACTATTCTTAATACTTAAGTGTATTAGCTCCTATAATATAAATTCATTTTGCTCTGCCTGATCAGCATCAGGAAACACATTCCTATCAGTATTAAGAAACACAAATATACAAAGATAGATTTACTAGAACATTTGTACTTCTTCAAATCAAAGAGTGGAATGGTTGTTAAAGTAAAAACAAGAATAATTTCTTAAAGAATAATTTTCTTTATAATTTTCAATTATAACAACTCAATTCCATCAATATTTTGTTTCTTCATTCCAAATCATAGGGACTCAACCCATCCTTACTGTCTGTCCCCAAAACCACTAGAGATGCTAGGTCAGAAATGAGGAAGTATAATATCTGTCTTCTCAATTCATTCTAAGCATATTATGTCCATTTTGTCATTAAACGTTTAAAATTTCAGGCTGCTACACGGAGTACTCACTGTTTTTCCAGGTCTACGACCATCCTATCAATTTCCTCTGTGGAAGGCACATGTGTCCCATGAAGAAGACTGTTGGATGTTGGGTAAAACTCTTCCTCACTGGAAAGATGGCAACAGGGACTTGGAGTAACACTGCAAGTGCTCCACATTTTCAAACTAAACTACCATTCACGATGAGAGACAAAATACATACATATCTTTATACTATGGGATCCTACCTTACCTTTTAAAAAACAACAACACAGAATTAGAAGGGACAGAAGTAAGAAATCACTTATGCCAACACCTTCATTCTACAGATGAAAGAGCCCAGGGCCAGAGGTTAAAGGACTTGCTTCTAGGCTCAGGATATTTCTCTTTCCACTACAGCAGGCCAACAAGCTGCAGCATGTTTCTATAAACAGTTTTACTGGGACAGGACACAGTCCTTTTGTTTATATCTCCTCTACAGGCTGCTGCTGCTTTCACATCACAAGGACAGAGTGGAGTAGCTATGACAGAGACCACATAGCCCACAAAGCCTAAAATATTTACTATCTTGTCCTTTACAGCAGAAGTTCACCCATCCTGGCACTAAAGCATTCTGCGTCCCAAAATATCTGAATAACTATGATAATCTGGGTATTAAACTCTCAACACCCAGTCATAGTACGCCCAGATAGAAAGATAACCAGGTGGTTAGCTTAACTGCTGTGGATGAGCAATAAATAGTGTCATCACGACCAGAAACTATTCTTAAACAGCTGTGGATAACCCATACCCAAGCACTGCAGTCTGTTTATATTTATGTATGTACGTTTATATACATGCACAAGTACATCAATATCACTTCAGAAGGGCTTCCCTGGTGGCGCAGTGGTTAAGAATCCGCCTGCCAAGGCAGGGGACATGGGTTTGAGCCCTGGTCCGGGAAGATCCCACATGCCGTGGAGCAACTAAGCCTGTGCGCCATAACTACTGAGCCTGTGCTCTAGAGCCCACAAGCCACAACTACTGAGCCCACGTGCTGCAACTACTGAAGCCTGTGCGCCTAGAGCCCATGCTCCGCAACAAGGGAAGCCACTGCAATGAGAAGCCTGCGAACCACAACGAAGTGTAGCCCCCGCTCGCCGCAACTAGAGAAAGCCTGCGCACAGCAACAAAGACCCAATGCAGCCAAAAATAATAAAATAAATAAATAAATTTATAAACAAATAAAGTGTAATGTTTAAAAAAAAAAAAATCACTTCAGGATGAAAAAGGACTGGCATTAGTCCTGTCAACTTACTGCTTTTCTCTCAGTCTCTCATATGTTTCCATGTCCGGTTTGATCTGTTTGGTCAGCCGATGGTACTGGCGAAGCTGGGCAGCAGCATAATCTAAAAATAAAATGAGAATCGGAAATGACATATTTCCTTGTTTGATCATTACTATTCAGAGAAAAATCAAAATTATTATTAGCAATATACACACTAATCTAAGCAGAGCCTCCATCCCGAAGACGCTGATAATACAGGCTTTAATTTCAGGACAATGAGTAAAGGGATCCAGCTGCCTCAAGCACAGCCTTTTTTACTTCTGCCCTATGAAATATGTTTGTATTTTTCTTGGGAGTAAGCCTCTTCGAGAATATTCCATGAAGGGGTATATCCTTTCTTAAAACCAGAAACACTGAAGGCAACGCTTACCTCACAGGCTCATTCAATAAAGTAAAGGTGAGTTTTACCTGAAAATCCCAGGTCGGGATTTTTCCTCCTCTTTTTCCTCTCCCATCTTTCTGCATCTTCTGCACTGATCTCTAGCAACTTCACTTTCTCGTAGTCTTCCCCTCTTGCTGCACATTCCTGAAAAAGAAAGGAAAAAAAGCTAATGCCTGCCCAAATGATTCAAGCAATTATTTGACCTATTTTAAATAAAGATATCGAGCAATACATTAAAAATAATGATTAATATTTGAAGGAAATTTGATAATCTACTATGGTATATAAGAAGTGAGTACATCAATCTAAAAATAATACTTATTCAACATTTATCAGGTGTCAGACCCTTTTTTAAATGTTTTACATGCACTGACTCATTTAATTCATAATTAACTCAAATAATTATTACAGGTCCCATTTTACAGATGAGAAAACATAGGCACAGAGAAGTTAAATTACTCACCCAAAGCTTGGTAGCTGGTAAAAAGCATTTTTTACTGCCTTAATACTCTAGAAAGATTGAATAAACCACTTATGAAAATAGCAGAGGAGCTCCTAACCTTTTTCTTTTCTTCTTCTTGTAGTTCCCATTCCAAACGAGCTTTTTTGGCTTCCCAGTTTGCAGGTAACTTAAGTCTTTTATCTTCTTCAACAACTTCCTGGTGATTTAATTTACGAGCTTCATTCTAAAACCATAAACGCAAAAAGGCTATCGGCTGAAACATGAAAATAAATCCAAACAAATATTTCCCTCTTTGAGGAAGGTCAAGACACGTTAACAAGGGGACTCCATTTTACCCTAAAAGCAAGAGAACCATCAGAGGATTTTAAGCAAGGAAACGGCCTAATTAGGGCTGCATTTGTATACAGTCAAGAAATGTGTTGAGCTGCACTGGTTTGCTGTGCCAAAGGCCTGGGCGTTAATGTCTCACATTATGAGAAAGATATTCTACTTTCAATTCTCTTTTAATCCTGACTGATGCAAAAAGAAGCCTCAATTTGGGGCTGGGGGCTTTAATACCTATCATAGTATCTCTAACCTTTCCCAAGTCCCCCCTCCTCTTTAGATATTTTAGCAGTTTACATCATGTCAAATGAAAGGCATTTTCCATTTAAATTACTGTATGTAGAGTCTGTTTTAAAATAACTGCATAAAACAAAATGAGTATACCATCTTAGGAACAACTTAAGTTAGATGTTTCTTGGGTTACAGGCTGGTGGCCGTTAGTCCAGGAAGACATGTCTCTTAATCCAACCCCATGTTCTTTACACAGTCCCTCCAAGTAAATATGTAAGTGTGCTGAATTCTTTATTAAATTTTTCTGGGTAAAGAGAAAAACCCAGAACATTCCTCTCAACAACCATCCCTCACATACTCTTGGCTCTGACAATGCCCTCCAGTTGAAGACACCAAGAACACACGTGTAGTCAAAGTTGTGTGTATTGCATTGAAGGAAACAGCAAACCATGGGGAACTGGAGGCATTTCAGTGAGAGGGTGTTAGGAGGAGCCACTTACAGGATTTGAGTTTGTATCAGGTGACTGGAGGGAAAGGTTCAAGGAAGCACGGTTGTGCCCTGGATTAGGCACTGTCAGAAAGCCAGGGCATTCTATGACTGGGTATCTTCAGTTTTTATACAGGAAGCAGAACTAATGGAGTGAGGCTAGTGCTGTATTTGTCACTGGTGTTAGCAGAAGTGGGTGCTGTGTGGTCATTTCTGTGGTTTGAACAGCTTTGTTTTCGTCACACTGTGACAGTCAGAGTGATGTTGGAGTTTTGTGAAACCATGGCCAAACTACCAGTCAGGCCCCTTTGAGGTGAAAGAGTCAAGAGCTGCTTTTTTGTTTCTCAGCTCCAACTGCAGCCAGTTGTTTGCTGGACTCTTATCCTTGATATGAATTCTCTTCCTTTGCATTTGTTCCCTCTGCTTAGATATTTCTTCCTCAAACTTCTTTATTTTTCTGGTAACATCTTACTCATCTTTATAGCAGTACTTTAGGTGTCACCTCTTATACGAGCACTCCCTGGGGGCCCCTAAACTATACCAATCTCTCCTTCACTGCACTCCCAAGGCACTTTGTTCCTCACTCAAGCATGGCATTTATCACAATGTAATTTCTAGCTAGAACGTCTCCTCTACTTAAGAGCAGAGAACTTATCTTACTCATGTAGTTCCCCACCTGCTAGCTGAACCACTGACCCTATAGACTTCCCGAGATTTGCTGATTATTTTTGAATGAAGAGGCAACTAGCTTTCTTAATGGACAAGTTTCTTCCAGTCTCTAGCTCCACGTATTTCCCTAGATAAAATGAACAGTTTACTAGAATTATACAGGACGGAGGCGGTTAGTAACAGAGACCCCCAAACTAGCCCAACTAAGTTAAAACAGATGGGGGTGAAGAAAAGCTTGGTGAAAGCATGTCCCTTTCCAAAAGTGACTACAAGGTGTTGCCAGGTTGATAAGCATCGGGACTAAACTTTCATCCAGCTCTGCGAGTCTGTCACACGCGCTGGTGCGGCTTCCTCGTCGCTCCACAAACGCGCACGGGCCTGGCCACGTGACAGGTCTCAGCTGGACTCTGGGGCGACTCACCCGCTTCAGGTGCAGCTCCCGGAATTTGCGCAGTCTCTGTTCGCGCTTCTGGGCGGCCAGCTCCTCGGCCGCCGCAGGGGGCTGCTGTTCCTCCGCGCCGCCTACCGGCACCTGTGGCGGAGGACAGGCTGGAGTTGGGGCCGGTTAGGCTTCTCCCCGGAGAGCCCAGGCGGATAACCCGCGGGTCCCGACAGTCCAGGCCGGGCCCTCACCGCCGACCCAGGCCCCAAAGTATCTGCGCCTTCCTGGCCCGGCACACAAGCACCTCCTCCACCTCTCGCCCTTGCCGTCCCTCAGAGCCCTCCCCAACTAAAACCCCTGGAAAGAGCCGGCAGCACTCACCTTCTCTGCTACTGTCGCAGCCGCCATCACAACCTTTCCTCGCCCACTTCCGGCAACAACCCAGAGCACTTCCGCCGGCCGTCGGACTGCAGCGTCAATACAGATTAATAGCCTACTATAAGCCCCGCCCCTTCCTGTCAGCCTCAGGAATTTAGGACCAATCCCTGCCCCTTTTGGCAGTGAGACGTTTTCAATTGGGCAGGGCCTTGCGCAGCCGCAAAAGGCCGCAGAGGCGGGGGCCGGAAGGGTGGAGGCTGAGAGAGAAGCGCTGGCGGTTTCGGTAGAGGGTGGCTAGGTAGGAATGGTGGAGCTGGGAGCCTCGTGGAAAGTCACCTCAACTGTGTGCTGCACCCTTGAGCGAAAAGTGCTTTCCATTCAGCGCTTAACCTGTGTCACCTTCTCCGAGGCAGGCTTCCCCTGACTACGTTGTATCGCGTAGGCCCTTAGTACTGTCATATGTTACCACTTTCTTTCTCTTTAATATATGTAAGATGTTTTTCTCGTCTGTTCGTTTTCTTTTTCCCCAACGACGTTGTAAACTGCAGGAGAGCAGGACCCGTCCCATCCTGTTCGTTCTTCGTGCTCAGCGGTGAAACTGCGCCAGAATTAATAATAGTGCTGAAGTTATTAATATAATTCAGTTAAGGTGCTGGATACAAGAGAAATACATGAAAATAATTTTTTTCTTCACTAAAACCATTAATTAGATGTGGAAATGAAAAAGTAATCCCCCAAATGAAAAGATACCTGGGTATAAGATTTAAACGGTAATGTGAAGAAAAATACGAAATAAAGTACAAAGAAATTAAATTTCAGTAAGTGATGAAGGATTTTCTGGTTGGAAGACAATAGAAAAATGTAATATCACAAATGAGTATCTCGAATGAGTATAAATGTAATATTATTTCATCAATCTCAGTGGGTTGTTTTTGTTTTTTTGGAACTGTAAAATATTGTGACAAAAATCTAAAAGTTCAGTGAAACACTATCGGTGAGCCTGTGAAGTGTTACCAGCCAGGGTTCTTGGACTCTTTAATCAATAGAAATTGATGAGGCCGGATGAGGAATTCAAGCAAGGTTTGAATTGGGACTCTTGCTGCAGCAGGAGGGAGTGAAAACAAGTAACAGGTGCCCTTGAGCTCCCTGAGGGAGTGGTGGAGAAGGGGCACGCTAGCTGGTCCTTTTAAATGGTAGGGGCGGATCCATAGGTTGGGCCAGAGGGTTGGCTTAGGTGGTCTGCCCACCTGTTTGGTGGTGCTGTGTTCAGGGATCATGCTGCAGTAGACTGTTTTTGTTCCTGACATCTCAGAAGAGGCAGTTGGGTTTGGGGCCTTTTTGTATTGTGTGTTTCGTACCAACTGCTCATGTACCCAGTTATTTTTAGTCCCTTATTGTTTCCTTGTGGTCCCAGGTCCCAGCCTGTCTCAGTAGGACTGAAAATTGGTACAACCCTTAGGGAGAGCAATTTGGCAATATCTATAAAAATTACAAAGGCATCTAATCTTTGACCCAGCTATCTGGGAATTTATCCTACAGGTACAATTGCACAGGCATAAACTGACTTATGTACAAGGTTGTTCATTTCAGTTTTTTGTAAAAGCAAAAAATTGGAAACAACTCAAACGTCTGTCAATAGAAGACCGGTTAAATACATTATGGTACATTCGGGGGAAGCTGTAAAAAGGAATGGGGCAGGGAATTCTCTGGCGGTCCAGTGGTTAGGACACTGTGCTTCCAATGCAGGGGGCACGGGTTCAATCCCTGGTCGGGGTTCTAAGATCGCACAAGCCACGCGGCACAGCCAAAATAAATAAATAAATAAGGAATGGGGCAGCTCTCTGTATACTAATTTGGAAAGTTCTCCAAAGTATACTAAATGAAAAATGCAAGGTACAGAACTGTATATGGTTATAGTATGCTATATTTAAGAGGCAATGGGCAGGGTTAGGGTTACTAAGAACATATTTTTGCTTTGCAAGAAGCTAATATAAGTGACAATCTGGGGGATTTACTATATATATACTTCGAATCATATTAATATATTTCCAATTCCAAAATTAAAAATTTTTTACAGAAACAGCCAAGAGTAGTTTTGGAAAAAAAAACTGAGAAGGAACTTATCTTACTAGGAATTAAAACTTAATAAGAGACTTCAGTAAAAACATTGGCACAGAAAATGACACATAATCGGAACAGAATAAGGTCAGGGGTTCAGTCCCCATATGGGCCACCAAAAAAAAAAAAAGGAACAGAATAGAAAGTTCACAAGTGGATTTAGTGGGAAAGTGATGCTTTCTAGAATAGAAGAGAATAAATAGTCAGGATATTTATTCCCTGACTGGATTATGAGTTGGCTGCATTTCTTTAGTCACAACTTCTGTCTGAAGACTTTCTCCTATCCTATCCTTCCTTCTTCTCCTTAGGATTGGGGTAGCAATGGCTCCCTCTTGTTGCTAGCCCTGGAATGCTTCACTCTTTTGTTGGTTTCTCTTAACCCAGTCTACAATTCTGTAAACAGTCCCTTTATTAAACTCTCCTTAATTACTTGGTTTGAGTATGTAGGGCTTTGACGGATAAAATATTTTTACAAATCGTGTAATTCTGGTTAAGTGATCATACTGAAAATAACTGACATTTCTGTATTCCTAAAGAATAAAAATATGTGTTAGGATTGCTCTGTCAAATCATAATGTAGAAAAAATATAAGCTTATGACTGCTAGATTTGCTGCTTTCATAGTTGTTAAGAAACTTGTCTCATTTAAATTAACTGCACTGAACAGTCAGTTCCACGCTTATTTAATTATTTATGTAGGCACCACAAAGAAGACGGTATGAAAAGCTGTAACAGGGGAAACTGACCCTTAAGGTGGTGAAGGTTAGGGCCCCCTGAAGAAAAACATTTAAAGACATCTTAGGAGGAGGACACACCTAATCCCAACTGGTATATTGGTCATTTGCTATGGGCCAGGCACAAGTCACAAATATTTCACAAATATTGTCGAATTTGTCCTCAAACTACTCTGTAACATGGGTATTGTATTATTATTTATTTTTCATAGATGATGAACCAAAGAATAGACGAGTTAAATAGAGAATGGTTATACAGTTCATTACTGAATGAATGGACAGATATACGAAGAATGGTGTCCTATGCAGAATTCTGAGAAGAAAGTCAAAATCTCACATTAATCCAAGAAATCTTTCTGCATCTCGGAGATGCTTCAGGAAGAGATCCCAAGTACCCTCAGTCAATTTGTTCCTTCCTTTCTTCATTCAGACAGTTCGGGGCACAGGGAATCCGCTGTGAACAAGACAGAAATAGATCCTGTTCTCTTGGAGCTTCCGTTGTACCGGGCGTTGTACCGCCACGCAAAGATTAAGATAGGATGCTGTGATGGTGACTGTAGGCCTACTTTGGTCACTTGATGGGCACAATCTGTGCTCTGGGTTGCTTTCTCACACTTTTGGTGGCGTTTTCTTCCTTTTACCCCTCTTCCTCAGACGATTCCGCCGCGCTGCCCTCGTGTCTCCACTCAGTGCGCCTGGGCCCAAGCCTGGCCCCAAGCCTGGCCCAATCGGATACAGCCCAAGGGATTGGTTCCTCAGCTGGGGAAGCAGAAAGGGGCGGGGCTTTGTCCCGAAACCTGTGGCTGCTGGCTGACGGAAGTGAGCTGGAGACTCGGAAAAGTTGTCTTAGGAAGTCTGGGGAAAAAGCGCTACCGGGTGATGGCGGCAAAGGCTAAGGCAGAGGAGGTGGGTGGGGCTGGTCTTGCCCAACGGTTGGGAGTGTAGGCTAGACGACGGCGGCTAGACGAAGAGGTAGTGCCAGGGAGGCAGAGACGGGGGCGCAGACGCTGTGGGGTCGGGGTCGGCGGTGAGGGCGCCCGGCCTGTCGGGAACCGCGGGGAATCACCTGGGCCGTCCGGGAAGAAGCCGAACCGGCCCCGCCTCCAGCCTGTCCTCCGCCACAGGTGCCGGTAGACGGCGCGGAGGAACAGCAGCCCCCTGCGGCGGCCGAGGAGCTGGCCGCCCAGAAGCGCGAACAGAGACTGCGCAAATTCCGGGAGCTGCACCTGAAGTGGGTGAGTCGCCCCAGAGTCCAGCTGAGACCTGTCACGTGGCCAGGCCCGTGCGCGTTTGTGGAGCGACGAGGAAGCCGCACCAGCGCGTGTGACAGACCTGCAGAGCTAGATGAAAGTTCGGTCCCGGTGGTTCTCAACCTGGAATCACACTGAAGTCACTTTGAGACCTTTTAAAAGCTAGACATGCTTAGGCCTCACTTCCAGAGTGTCTGATTTGATCAGTTTCTAAACACAGACATTGGTATTTTTTTAAGCATCCTCTCCCCGCACCCTCCTCTCAGCTCAAGTGATTCTGTCAAACCTTTCTTTTCATGGAGGGGGATACCGTGGACCAGAAATGGAAAGTAACTTGTCTGTTGTCACGCAGCAAGTTGGCGTCATTCATCCAAAAACAGCCCCTCGCCTAATGGCCTCTAGTGTGCTATAGCCAACTATCAACAGATGGTGTGGATACAGCGGTAAATATGGTAAGGCTGCTGTCCAGTTATGGAGGCAGATCCGTAACCAATAATTACTTCACGACTTGGTAAATGGTATGTTAGAGGGAGGAACAAAGTGCCTCAGAAGTGCAGAGAAGAAGACTGACAACTAGAGACTAAGGTGACAACTAAGCTGCTTGAAAAATGGGTAGGATATTATTAGACAAGTAAAGGAGTTGGGGGAAGTGGTATAGAGCAGTAGGAACAAGAGCAAAGGAAAAGTCCTCATTAGGATAGGAGGTCAGCAGGCAGCTGGAGACAAGAGGTATGTGTGAGGATGGTAGTTATCTCTATTTGCGCAGAAAAACGCAATCTAAAAACTAGTGGGACATACTTAATTCACTTGAAATACTGTAAAAAAAAAAAAAAAGGAGGCCGGATGATGTGTGAAGAAGCAATGATATAATTCAAACATCCCCCTTTTGCAGTTTTTAATGAGTCACTGGATCACAGTCAGTGGCTGTGAACATCACAAAAAGGATAAAATCAGAGATTATGTGTCTCCTGATAGAAGTATGTAGCACCAGTTTCATATAAGTAGACTTGCTAAAAATAAATCTAACCTGAATTGGGGACTTCCCTGGTGGTCCAGTGGTAAAGAATCTGCCTTAATGCAGGAGACGCGGGTTCAATCCCTGGTCGGGGAACTAAGATCCCACATGCCACAGGGCAACTAAGCCCACACGCCACAACTACTGAACTCGCACACCTCAACTAGAGCCCGTGTGCCGCAAACTACAGAGCCCACGTGCTCTGGAACCCGCATGCCACTAGAGAAGAGAAAACCCACACGCCACAACTAGAGAAGAGAAAACCTGCACGCCACAACTAGAGAGAAGCCCGCGCACCACAACGAAAGATCCTGCATGCCTCAACAAAGATCCCGCGTGCCGCAACTAAGACCCGACACAGCCAAAAATAAAATTAAATAAATAAATATAAATAAATCTTTTAAAAAAATAAATCTAACCTGAATTGGATGAAACCACTAGATCTACTGACCAATTTACAGAAAATACAGGGGTCAAAAAATATGTTATAGGACATTATAGGGAGGCAACTAGCAGATGCCACTTTGGGAAACAATAGGACAGTCAACACAGTCATTTTCACACTCCTCAAAAAAGCAATGGATAAAAAAGATGGAAAAGGAAACTATACATTAAATAAACCTTAAGAGGTGTACATACATATTGACTAATCGCAACATGTGGGACTTGTCTGAATTCCAATTCAGATTGTAAAAATAATAATGAACACTTATGAGACCATCAGGAAAATGTGAACACTGACAAGATATTTGATAACAAGGAATTATTTGGGGAGTGTGCTGATGGTATTGTGGTTAAAGAGATAATTACAATATTATAGGTAGAAAAGAAAACCAGCTAGAAATCAGGAAATTTGGGTTCTTGGCCTAACTCTGCCACTAACTCACCTAAAACTTTCTGAACTTCATAGATAATAGGAGAATTAGATTGTAGTCCTTCTCATACCACCTTCATGGTTTATACTGTAAGTGTGACCACCTGTCCACTTGCTCAGTGTTTTTATTTTTTTAATAAATATTTATTTTATTTTTGGCTGCATTGGGTGATCGTTGCTGCACGTGGGCTTTCTCTAGTGGTGAGCGGGGGCTACTCTTTGTTGCAGCGTGCAGGCTTCTCATTGCAGTGGCTTTTCTTGTTGCGGAGCATGGGCTCTAGCCACGTGGACTTCAGTAGTTGTGCACGCAGGCTCAGTAGATGTGGCTCGCAGGCTCTAGAGTGCAGGCTTCAGTAGTTGTGGCACGCAGGCTCAATAGCTGTGGCTCGAAGGCTCTAGAGCACAGGCTCAGTAGTTGTGGCACATGGGCTTTGTTGCTCCGAGGCATGTGGGATCTTCCCGGACCAGGGCTCGATCTGTGTCTCCTGCATTGGCGGGCAGATTCTTAACCACTGCGCTACCAGGGAATGCCCCCTCTGTTTGTTTTTAAAGGGAGACTAAATGAGGCGTTAAGATAGGTGATTTTAGAGGTGTTAAAACTGAAATTTTGTCTTCAACCCAATCTGAATTAAAAAAGGAATGAGAAATGGAATCACTTTCTCAGTATGTGACTGTGTCATTCAGTAGTATCTAAAATCATCTCGAGTACCTCTGTACAGTGGAACTCATACTTTGGGAAATGCTGTTTCAATCCAATCCTAAGTGACTTGCTTACATCACACAGCTAGGGAGTAGTCAAATCAGTATATTTCTCAGGCCTTCTTACTCCCAAACTATTGCTCTTTCCATCTTTACCACATGGTTCCTTGAAGGCAGTAAAATAATACGTAAAGGTATAGATATTGGTGTTTACCTCTCTTCCCCCTACATGAAATCTCTTCAGTACAAACACACTCTCACACAAACTTCTCCAGTGGCTCCCTACCTTTCAGGATAAAATCCAGAAGTCCATTTTGGATGGCCTACCATACAAGATAGGTAACATTTATTTGGATATGTTTCCATACCTCTGCTGACAAACTTTGTGTCCTGGTGGTAGAATGAAGCTCGAAAATTAAATCACCAGGAAGTTGTGGAGGAAGATAAAAGACTTAAATTACCTGCAAATTGGGAAGCTAAGAAAGCTCATTTGGAATGGGAATTGCAGGAAAAAGAAAAGAAAAAGTAAGTACACTCCTGCCACCTTCATAAGCTGTGGATTCAAATATTATATTGTGTTTTGTTCAGGCAGTATATTGCATGGTCGTTAAGCATTAAACATTCCAGCTCTGGTTTCCTCATCTGTACCTTAGAGAGTTTTGAGAATAAAATACGGAAGACATTTACAACACTGCCTGGCATATAGTTACAGCCACACAATGGATATTAGGGTAAAAGGTTAAGCTACAGTAACAAAAGCTCCAGCAATAAGAAAAGATAAAGCTCATGAGTCTCTCCTGTATCAGTTCCCAGTTGAGCAGCCCAAGTCACCTGGCCTGATGCAGCTGCAAGGGACGTTGAGAAATGGGCGGCCATGAGCCCAGAAAGGAGGCAAGAAAGGATTTTGATGGACATCGAATGTGTCCCCCACAGCTATCTTTGGTGTCAGTTTTATAGATGTATTATTTCTTACAGATATAGCAGATTCCACAATTTTCTTTGTAAACTGGCCATTTAACTGTCTTGATGGCAGTCTTTAGGCCTTTGATTTGAAAGGAATTAAGGAATTGTATAAGGCAATAAAGCTAATGTTTTTTCCCCTCGTTTTAGGAATGTACAGCAAGAGGGGAAGACTATAAGAAAGTGAAGTTGCTCGAGATCAGTGCAGAAGATGCAGAAAAATGGGAGAGGAAAAAGAGGAGGAAAAACCCCAATCTGGGATTTTCAGGTAAAAATGGCTTTTACTTTATTGAATGGGCCTATTAATGGCCCATTTAACAAGTCTAATAATGCCCCACCCAACATCTAAAATAGTATGGGTTCTCATTTTTTCAGATTATGCTGCTGCCCAATTACACCAGTATCATAGGTTGACAAAGCAGATCAGACCTGACATGGAAACATATGAGAGACTGAGAGAAAAGCAGTAAGTCGATGTGATTTAAAAGCATACATTATGTATGTTACTGAAAGGCCTTGAATTTAAGAGTGCTGATTCTGGAGCTTTGCTTCCTGGCCTTGGGTCCCGGCTCCACCACTTAGTAGCTGTGTCACACTATTTTTCTCTGTTTTCTCATCTGTAAATAGGGAATAACAACAGTGCCCACCTCACAGGGTTATTATCAAGATTAAATAAATTCATACAATGCCCTCAATCAGTGCTTGGCACATAGAAAGCACTGTATATGTATTGGCTATTATTTGTTATCATTGATTATTACTGTTGCTATTACCCTTATCCACAGGTAAGGGACACAGTAATACTTTCTTTCGTCATGCACAGTAAACAATGGTAAACTACACTCCTTACCTAATTATGTAAGACAGGTACTGTGCTAAAGATCAAGACTTTTAATAGTGATAGTGTAGATAGTGGAGAGGGCTGTAAATTGTGCCCTCAATTGAGCATGTTACTCAAGCTCTCCTACTGTATGAACTTCGTTAATTCCATTAACCTGTGGTCCTCAGCTAACTCATTTGGGCTTTGGAGGTTTATTTTTTGGCCACACAGCATGCAGGATCTTAGTTCCCAGATCAGGGATCGAACCCATGCCCCCTGCAGTGGAAGCATGGAGTTTTAACCACTGGACTGCCAGGGAAGTCCCAGGAGTAGATATTTCTTAAATATATATTTTTTGGTCTGAATTCTATTTCTTTGAAATCAAGTATCTCAGAGTTTTCCACTTTTGACCACTAAACATTGTCCAGTTCTGAAGGTATAGGATCTTTTTTTGTGTTACTCACCACTTCACTCTTTTTCAGTGGAGAGGAGTTCTACCCAACATCTAACAGTCTTCTTCACGGAACACACGTGCCTTCCACAGAGGAAACTGATAGGATGGTCGTAGACTTGGAAAAGCAGTAAGTACTACAAATGCAGCCTAAAGTTTTAGTAGTGATTCATGCTTAATAACAAAATTAACTATATGGTCTTGAAGTGTAGCAACTGGACTGAAGTTAAGGAACATTTGAGTTATTAGTTTGAAGAATGGTCCCATTCACCACCACTTTTATATGTGTGTGGTTTTTTTAACATTTTTATTGGAGTATAAGTGCTTTACAATGTTGTGTTAGTTTCTGCTGTATAAAAAAGTGAATCAGCTATATGTATACATATATCCCATATTCCCTCCCTCTTGCGTCTCCCTCCCACCCTCGCTCTCCCACCCCTCTAGGTGGTCACAAAGCATCAAGCTCATCTCCCTGTGCTATGCAGCTGCTTCCCACTAGCTGTTTTACATTTGGTAGTGTATGTATTTCAATGCTACTCTCTCATTTCGTCCCGGCTTACCCTCCCCCCACCCCACCCTCCTCCTCAAGTCCATTCTCTACATCTGTGTCTTTATTCCTGTCCTGCCCCTAGGTTCATCAGAACCATTTTTTTTTAGATTCCATATGTGTTAGCATACGGTATTTTTTCTGACTGACTTCACTCTGTATGACAAACACTAGGTCCATTCACCTCAAATAACTCAAATTTCGTTTCATTTTATGGCTGAGTAGAATTCCATTTATATGTGCCACATCTTTATCCATTCATCTGTCGATGGACACTTATGTTGCTTATATGTGTTTTGAATGGGGTAACTACTAGGCAGAATCTACAGAGTACGTATAAAAATTCTCTCAACGTAATATGTGACCACTCATATTTCAGCGTGAACCCGGGTAATTTCCCAAACTTCAGACCAGATCATCTGATGATACTGTTAAGATTAAATTCAAGAAGAATGCTCATTGAACATATATCCTTGTAGGATGCTTTCTAAAGATATTGCTTTCAGGCTTAACTATTAAGAACAAAAAGGAGGGACTTCCCTGGTGGCACAGTGGTTAAGAATCCACCTGCCAACGTAGGGGACATGGGTTCGATCCCTGGTCCGAGAATATCCCACATGCCGCAGAGCAACTAAGCCCACGAGCCACAACTACTGAAGCCCGCGGTCCTAGAGCCCATGCTCTGCAACAAGAGAAGCCACCGCAGCGAGAAGCCCGTGCACCACAATGAAGAGTAGCCCCTGCTCACGGCAACCAGAGAAAAGGCCGCGCACAGCAACGAGGCCCCAACACAAAAATAAATTAAAAAAATAAAAAAAAAAAAGGAATGCCGCTTTGAATTCTGTATATTTGTTTCCGTTAAAGAATTGAGAAACGAGACAAATACAGCCGGAGACGTCCCTATAATGATGATGCAGATATCGACTACATTAACGAAAGGAATGCCAAATTCAACAAGAAGGCAGAAAGATTCTATGGGAAATACACAGCTGAAATTAAACAGAACTTGGAAAGAGGAACAGCTGTCTAATCCCTTCAGGAACTGTTCTGCCAAATTGTACCAGTAAATCAGGACTCTTTCCTTTTATAATTTGTAAAGACATGTTCTACAAATCTGTGTATTTTCATATATTTATTATTCATTTGTTTTAGAAAAATGTCTCGTATTTCTGTGTTTGAAGTGTGTGCTTAATGTGTGCACTCTGCTAGGCTTAAAATCCTTAGATACGAACACAAGTCATCATCATGCTGAAATCTGTCATACATTTGACTTGACCTGGAGTTGAACTTGGGAGCTTCAGAGGTGAGTTGCTAAAATGGCACTAATTCTTCTTATAAGCTATGGTAGGTAGTGAAAGGCAGGCAGTGGTCACTGGAAATTCAACCTAATCCCTCCCTGCTCCAAGAGGTCACAATTAGCAGGTGCTTGCCTGTCCCATGTTGTATCCCATGGCCCAGGTGCATTTATGGGGCAAGCATAGAGGGTGGGAGACTGATTCTCCAGTAGCATTTTACAAATATGCCATCCTTCAAAAAGCAAATATCCCTTGGAAGAAGGTAAGTTAAAACACTTGGTGAAAATATTATTAAAATACACATAATACAATCTTTTTTTTTAAAGGCTAACTGGAATTCTAACCTTATTTCAACTGTAACTAAAAAATTAGGACATGCGATTTTAGTAGTAATTATGGGAAACAGAGGATAGAAAACCTGAAGTCAGGAGTATCCCATGAAAGTGAAGATTGTGCCATGTTACGTGAATAAAAACATGCCTAGGCTTGAGATCAGTATAAGATGGGCACACTTATTGATCAACGAGTAGGAAGCTCCGATTTAGCTAATGACGGGTTTATAAAGATGGTAATATAAATGCTAATAATAAAGGTATATTCAGTGTACTGTGAATAGCGAAATTTTAACATTGTGGTACAGTCATACAACTACAGAATGAGACAGATCTAACATGAAAAGATGCTCTTACCTATATAAAGAGGTTTGTACAGGCATAGAAATAAAATCCAGGATGTGCACCATACTATTTACAGTGATTGCTGCTGGGAATGGGAACAGATGTGGTAATTTTACTTATTTTTTAAAATAATTTGACACAAATACACACCCATGCTGCCCAATCTTATCAAGAGTAATAACATGCCAGTAGTTTTTTTCTTCTCCTGTATTTTCAAAGAAACATTTAATAATACCTTTCTACTAAGGGAAAAGGAGGGGAAGGAAAAATTAATAGGTCTTCAAAGACATCATACTGACTTGGGCTTAAAGGACAAATAGGATTTCCCCAGAGGAGAAAAGTGCTCCCAATAGCCAACCAAAAAAACAGATGTCAGTATGATCTGACGACTACTCTGAAGGTGACTAGGTGGATGGTAAAAGCCACTAATTCAAACAGGCAATACTGTAATTAGCCCAGTATGGGAAAGGTTCATTTTGAAGAGCTGAGGCAAGCTTTGGAAACTAGAGTTCAGAAATTGATACTCTTCAGTTAGTAGATGGTAGTTAAAGACAGAGTAGAGGAAATTAGCAAAAGAGCTTGTAGAGGGAGTAGGCTAAGGATAGAATCCTAACAGTGGGCAAAGGACAAAAAGCCACTGTAGATAATGGAAGAGGTCAAAGAAAAGAAGACAAATGCATGGAAATCTCTGCCTGAATGACAGAAAAATTTGAGAAAGGACTCCGTGAAGAAATAGTGAAAAGTGAGCCCGCATAAGAACAAGTTTTATTTTGCTAGGTAAGCTTAATAAGTGCTTCAGCAAAGAAAGCCAAAGGACAGCATGCTGTGGTTGGTTCAGTAATCATGGCTTCTCTAGAAAAAAAGCAAAGCATTACACACCTGAACCTACGATCTAGGGCTGTGCTTTCCAAAATGGTAGCCACCCACCATATGTCACTAGTGATCATCTGAAATGTGACTAGGGCAAATTGAGGTGTGCTTTAAGTGTAAAGTACACACTGAATCACAACACCTACCCAAAAAAAGTAAAATACCACTTTTCTACATTATATGTTTAAATATTTTAACATCTACTGGGGTAAAAAACGAATTCACCTTTTTACTTTTCATTGAAGCTCTCCTTTCTATTGGACAGCACTAAATCTAGTCTCTTGGTACAATTTCTCACTATCAGCGCCTGTTTGCTATATTGTCCACAGGTTATGTAATGACGTGGTATCACACCTGGGCAACTGCATCCCACTTATGTAATGACAGGCAGTCTGGGAATATGCACAACGAGTTATCTTCTGTGTTACAAAGCCTAGGAGAGACTGAGCACAGTTGTCCTGGCCACACACAAACGACAAGGTCAGGTTAGACAAGGACTGACAGGACTTCATGGGGTTATTATGAAAAAAAAATGGAGAAAGTGTACATTCTTTTCAGGATACTGGGTAGTAAAAAGAAAATGAACTAATAAAGGGAAAATAGGCAAGTCTCAAGGCTGAAGGAAAAGACCACTGTAGAAGTGAAATCTCAGAAGTGGCACATATCCATAGCAACTAGCCAAACCTCTTACATAAGGTCATAATCAAAGCAGGTGCTTTTCTGTTACCAGCTAAGTGAAGGTGAAAATGATCTTAGCATTATGTCCTCAATTCATTGCAAAAGTCTCCCTTACAAGGAAATCCTTGAGTTCTATAGCTTTACTATAGGAATAGAAATTATATGTCCAGGAATGTATATATCCAAGTCTAAATTTGTACATTTAAATTTTTCATAGGGTCAAATTTAAGAGCAGCTCTTATCCAATACAATGTTCTACCACAGAAGTATTCTATTATCTGCACTTTCCAGTAAGTGGTTACTTAAAATTCAGTTCCTCAGTCATACTAGCCAACTTCTCAAGTGGTCAATAGCCACAGTGGCTGGTGGCTGTCTTCATGGGAAATGCAGGTAAAATACTGGACAGCACAGCTTTAGTTAATACAGTATTACATTGCACTTGAGGATTCTTCACCATCTTTTTAAAGTCAACTTCTACTTAAAAATTTAGGACTTAAGCCTGCTCATCTATTGTCTAATTTCTGGGTGTTTGTCTTTTCCCAGGTTTTTTGTCTTGCCTCTAATATTCTCCTCATCCTATTCTCTAACTTGTTATCCCTGCCTATTGGAAGTCTATTTCATTTTTTCCCAAACTAAAAGTCTGTTCAAAATTAGGGCAAGATTCCAAGGAGTAGAAAAGAGAAACATTCAAGCAATCAATAGTACCCACCCCCATCACTAAAATAAAACCTCATGCATGTTTTTGATCTACTAGGATTTTTATTTTTTGCTTAGGTTCTAGCAAGACATGTTTTGTTGCTAAAGCCTAGCACACAGGCAAAATAAATTCATTAAGCTGGCATTTTATGTTTAATCCAAACATTTGATTAAGTCAAATTAACACTTGGAGAGACCATCTAAAACTGGCTTAAATCCTCCTAGTTTTGGTATCCACTAGAATGTATTAACAGGCAAAACCACAAAAATCCATAATCAGCTAACGTTTAAACCAACTGCCCAGACCTTTCAGTTAAGTGTAACATTCATCTCTAAATTTTTATGTGCTTAGTTAAGGTCTTTCCCAGCTACAGTAAGAAGCAACGAAGAATTTCAAATCAATAAATACTTTTTAAAATATAATAAGAAAAAAATGCAACGAAACCTCTGATTTTATAACCCAGTGAGGCATTCTGTTTCAACCCCTCTCTGGCTGAGTTTCCTGCCGTGAAGCTCAATTCTTCCAGGATAACACTATGCCAGTATTCTTTTAAGTCTTAGGCCAAACTTCCCAAATTTTAATGAGTATCTACATCAACCGGGAGTACTTTACATATCAGCTTCTAATTCAGTTCTGGGGTAGATTTCAGATTCAACATTTCTCACAAACTCTCAGGTAAGATCACAGGGCCCTATGCTGTCAGTCCATGGATTTGGATCTGGGATTAGCAAGGCTTTAAACAAGAGATACCACCTCATTCTTCTTCATTAAATAAAAACCCATTATGTAAAATATATACAATAAAGTGAAACTAAAATAAAAACAAATTTATTAATAAAATATATACAAACAGTTCAATTACTGTTTGTCTTAAAAATTTCACTTCTACATAACCAATCCATATTATATAAAACATTTACAAGTATATATACAAGAATGCCACCTGTGCGTAACCTCTGGTCCATTTGTGCTATCTCCTATCTGCAAGAGAAATCTAAAATGTTAATATTTAAATATTAAGTATTTACATCTTTCTGTGTTGTCATCTGTAATTGCAACAATTATCACTAAATGGTTCAAAGGAATGGAATAATGCTGGAAACAAACTTGCAAAAAAAAAAAATGCATTTCAGGCAACCTTAGCTATTGATGTTCTTTTCAACAGGTATCCACAGTCCATATGGACTTTTCTTCTTATCTATTTTTGGGGATCCTGAAGAGGTCTCTTCAGCAGTAGCTTTAGCTGATTTCTGAAGCAATGGCTTTGCTACAGAATTCTGTAAGAGAACAAGTTCTTAAGTCAGCTTCCCAAACAAATATTATTATACATATTTAAAATACTCGCTTTTTACAAAATACATTAAATAATTCCATTTAAGACTAGAACTTAAAAGAGACACCAACCAAATAAATGCAAAGCCACGGACTGCACTTGCAACTTGATTCAATCAAATCAGACATATGCAAGGCATGTCACTATTGCAGTAGTGAAGTATTAAAAATAGTTTTGAAATTTTATTAAGCCCTTAGCCCATTTTAAAATATTCTGACTACAGGATATTCTGAGACTTGTTTTTTGAATATTTTACCAGTTAAAAAGGAAAATAGGAATAATTAAAAGGAGGACAAAATATTGAGACTGAGAATGTAGATATTAAAGTAGGAGCCCATTATATTGGTCACTTGTAAGAACCATACAAAAAAATTTTTTTTAATTCTATTTATTTAGCGGCTTAGTAGGCCTCGAATTATCAGCATAAAAACAATGAGCCAACAAAAATAAAAACCCACATAACAGAAATATGTTTAAGGCCAGTTTTTGAGTGGTCAATGCTTAGATAATACTTACATTAGAGCTAAAAGCTATGCTTTTTTGCTGGGAAGACTTCTCGTTGGGATTTTCTGTTTCATCTTCTATTAACTTATCCGACAGCTAGACAGGTAAGAGAAAGTAAATTTTAAAAAACCATACCCTTGTAGGTATAAAAAGCAGCCCAACTGTATTACAAATTCACTTGTAGAGACACAAATCAAGTTGGATGTAACCAAATAGTTAACATCCTAAAATAAATAACATAGTACTCTGTTGAGTTTTCCCCATAACAAAACTGATTCAATGATAGGCTTAAGACACTCTTCCCCATAAAGGAGTATTGTATCCCCCTGATGCAAATTCAAGTAACTTTGAAAGTCAAGTCATACCAGAAAACACCTAGTTTCAAAGAACTAAGGCATTTGCCCATCCAGTTGGGAACCTAACCGTCTGAAAAAGCGACTGAACTAAGATCTTTTTTGTCCACCACTAATACTTAGGCAAACCCACATCTGGGTCTGAATGACAGGAGATAACCCATCTTTCCTATGTTAACTGAGTGTTATCAATTCCTAACTACCTTAAACCTTTAAGATATGAATTTTATGCTGCACATTTCTGGAGAATTGTAATAAACTTATCTGCAAGTGAAGCAGGCCTCTTCTTCTGTAATCTCTCAAAACATCTGGAATATATTGCATATATTATGAAAGGGACATCTATATCAGATGCCCCACCATTACAAAGTACACTTTTGTTTAGTTTAGTACCTGTCCCAAATTCTAGCATGCATAGGGATCTACCAACAAAAAACTAAGTTTTCAGTGTGTCAACATAAACTTCAAATTAGTTAAACCTCTGATGCTTTTGCGCATATATCAATTACCAACAGATTTTCTTCATCAATGTCTGGAGACCACATTCATGATTTCTATAAGACAGAAATAAAGCAGATAAACTATACTGTATGTTGAGTACAGAATTTGTGGGAACATAATGCTGCAAATGAGCGCTACAGATAAATACTCCGTAAAAAACTAGCTAGAAAAACTTGGTAACTACATAGAAATCACCAAAGTACCAGCTACAATTATGAAAGTAATTAGTACTGTGTCAACTGAAAATAAAGTTCATTAGTCTCCCATTTTCACGGGGGGAGACTATCTAGTATTGTCAGATCTGTTATTTTAAATTATATTTAGCTAGCCTTTCCAGGAAGCAGTCTAAGGCAAATCAAATAAAAATGGCTAATCAGATCTTTCTGGTAGTAGTTTCCTGAAGATTTTGTTTGGATAAATCTAAAACACTTACCTCAGACTTTGCACCATTATTCAGTACAGCTGTTCCACGGTTGGTTTCTTTAGATACAGAAACAGTTCTGAGACTAGCTGGCAAGTCAAAGTTGGCTGTTCCTAATGCTTTTGCGGCATTGGCTTTTGCTATTTCTAACAGCTCCATTCGATCTACAAAAGAAACAGAAAGTGTTCATTTATCCTGTAGTATTTCTCCAGAAAACTCAAAATTCACAAACTGTGTTTGTGCTTTTTTTTTTTTTTTTTTTTTGCTGTACACAGGCCTCTCACTGCTGTGGCCTCTCCCGCTGCGGAGCACAGGCTCCGGACGCGCAGGCTCAGCGGCCATGGCTCACGGGCCCACCCGCTCCGCAGCATGTGGGATCCTCCTGGACCAGGGCACGAACCCGCGTCCCCTGCATTGGCAGGCGGACTCCCAACCACTGCGCCACCAGGGAAGCCCTATGTTTGTGCTTTTAAACTAGTAGTATCTACACATTTACCTGGTACTTCCACATGTAAGATATATTTATATTGATGGAAAAAGAACTCTACTTATTTTGCTGAGAAAAACAAGCATCCCTAAGTGATCAACAAGTAAAAGCACACGGTGGGTAAATAACTAACTCCCTGACAATTTCAAGGCTCCACTCAGAACCGCCCTCCACCAAGCCATTTAACGTGCACAGCGTTACTCCCAAGGGGAAAGCATGCCGTCCATTTTAAAACTGGGCGCCCACTACAGTGTAGTTTTAACTATTAACCTACTGACGTCCTTCCTCTTTCCCCTAACGCCTCTCTCGACGACCGACGACTCACCCTTCTCACTCAGACGAAATGCGGTTGGGCTGCGCGACCTGGTCCAGGATCGCCCCCTCCAGCCTCTGCGCTCCTCCGGGTAGACGGTGCGGCCGAAGCCGTAGTAAGGGCGGTCCCGCGCGAAGGCGTAGGCCCTCCGGTAAGGCGAGCGGCCTCGGGAGCGGGGGCGGCTGAGGGACCGGTAGGACCTCCTGGAGGAGCCGTGGTGCCTCTCCCGGTACCGGCGGCTGCGGGGGCGCGAGCGGCTCCGCGAGTACGAGCGCGAGTAGCGCCGGTACCTCCTCCGGTGGCGCCTTCGGGAGCGAGACCTCGACCTGCTCCTCCGCCGGGGCGGGCTGCGGCTGCGGCTCCGCGACCACGACCGAGTCGAGACGATGGATCGGGACGGAGAGCTCGGGGGAGAGCGGCTCCCGGACGCCGAGGACAGCCGGCTGGACGGGCCCGACCGCGACGACGAGGGGGAGGCCTTGTGCGGCGAGCCCGGCCACAGGTCGTTCACGTAGCTGGACATCTCGGACGGCAGCTTCCGAGCTTCCTTTGCTTTGACGACCCCTGCCCGAAAACTCAGTTCCTAAAAACAAACGAGAGGAAACAAAATACAAGTGAAGTCCCGAAGTGAGCCGCGCGGGCAGCCTCGGGCCGAAAAAGAAACGGGCCTCCCGGCCTACGGAACTCCGGGCTGTGGCGCCGTCTGCTGCCGGCCTTCCCGCCCCGCCACCGTCCCCGTCCACGCTCCGCGGGGCCCACAGGGCCCGGCTACGCTCGCCTTGAGGTAGCCGACCGCAGGGCCACCCCGTCACCAGAAAACCCACCACGGGCCGTCGACGCCTCACTCAAGGAGATAAAGGCACAACGGACGCCTTCCTTCTCAAGTTAAGGACGGAGACAGGCTTTTCGCTGCTTCTCCTGAACGGCTGACTCTCGCCCCCTACCTCCGACGTCCAACGTGCAAAAGCGAACTGAACGGGGGCGCGGCAGACGTGTCGAAAATACCAGAAACTGGCGCCCCGCGCCTGCGCAGAGACGTTGCGTGGTGGGCGTGGCTCCCCTCTCGTCCAACCGCCGCTCCCCTCCTCTCTCCACCCCGAGCCCCACCCTCCGCCTCGCCCAATGGCCTCCAGGATGCGCATGCGCGCCCTAGCACGGAAGGTGGGCAGGGGGAGTCTCAGCTCCATCCGGGTAGCAACCTGTGGCTATTTAGTGTTCTTGGCTGAAACCGGGTGGAAACGAGGCGGCCTCGCGCCGGCTACACCTGACTGTGGGACTGTGTGCCTGGCCGATGTTAACTGGGTCGTTTCCTCCCCTTCGGGCTGTGCCTCCCTGGACCCTTCTTGGCCACTTCCTCCTGACCCATGTCCGGCCGGCGGGCCGCCTTCCCCGGGACGTCACAGGATGCCTGTCAATGCATTATCTTAGAAAACGTTTTTCACTCCCGTGCTTTGGCTAGGAAAAGTCAGAAAGGTGGAGACAGAATGCAGAGGGCACTCATAGCTGACCTTTAAGTTAGTCTAAAGGTTCAGAATGACGTCTGAGATGTCTATTCTGAGGACAGTGTTCTTGGTGCTAAGGATTAGACAATGGTGACTGTTTTATTTCCAGGGATTTATAAGTAGGATACATTTTAGACATATTTATTGTTGTTAATAAAGCATGACAATTGCCTTGAAATAATTTTTCATCGAATGCACTAACCACGTAAGGAGAATTAGTCCTATGA